GGTCAGTACTAAAACATATTGTGATTAGTCAGTACTAAAATACATTGTGATTAGTCAGTATTAAAACGTATTGTGATTGGACAGTACTAAAATACATTGTGATTAGTCAGTATTAAAACGTATTGTGATTGGTCATTACTAAAACGTATTGTGATTGGTCAGTACTAAACATATTGTGATTAGTCAGTACTAAAATACATTGTGATTGGTCAGTACTAAAACATATTGTGATTAGTCAGTACTAAATTACATTGTGATTAGTCAGTATTAAAACGTATTGTGATTGGACAGTACTAAAATACATTGTGATTAGTCAGTATTAAAACGTATTGTGATTGGTCATTACTAAAACGTATTGTGATTGGTCAGTACTAAACATATTGTGATTAGTCAGTACTAAAATACATTGTGATTGGTCAGTACTAAAACGTATTGTGATTGGTCAGTACTAAAACGTATTGTGATTGGTCAGTACTAAAACGTATTGTGATTGGTCAGTACTAAAACGTATTGTGATTGGTCAGTACTAAAATGTGTTGAGACCTGAGTTTTGGGTTCTTGCATATTTTATGTGGCTTGTTAATCAAAGTTTTGTTTGTCACTTGTTGCTCTAACATGTTATTGTGTTTTGTTTCTGTGAAATCACAGTCATGTTGTGTTCATTTACAGATATTCCATATAGATTTTGGACATTTTCTTGGTCATTTCAAGAAGAAGTATGGCATCAAACGAGAGAGAGTGCCATTCGTTTTGACCGCTGACTTTGTCAATGTCATATCAAAGGGTCAGCCTTACGATAAAAGTGAAGAATTCAAACAGTGAGTGACAGTTGTTTGCATTTAATCCCTTCATTAACATTGTCAACTTCTGTCACCTCTCAAGTAATAGTCTCTGCAATGTAATTCAAAAATAAAAATAACATAGTTATAATTTCAATATGGAAATCAACATCTCATGATATTCAGCCATAATTACAGCCACATATTGAATTAACACTGGGATAAGTGGGTGACATAAAAAAATGAAAAAACAAAGTGTATGTGAACAGCACCCCTGGTGACAATGGTTAGAGTTGCTTTCTGTTGGGATGAAAAGTGCTAATAACAATCACTGCTAAGAAAATTCCAAGAGATATTCAAAAGAAATTGATAGGTCTTCCCGCTGTAAATTAAACTAATACATCTTTCCAATTTCTGGCCATATTCAAGCCGTTATAAAATGACAAAAAAATACAGATAGTTTTTAAGGATGCTTTTAGGTGTCACATGTTAGTGGTACTTTGCTGCGATATTGTGGATACTGTCACACGCAACGTAATATTACCGTAAT